CAGACTGACACTTCCAACACAGAGTGGAGGGAGATACTTTCCTACGGATGGGACTTTAAACCTGCCTTGTCAGTCAGGTGGAGTTACAGATCCCGCAGGTGTTCGATAAGAGAAGAAAGTTTCTCCGTGTGTCCTGGCCAACAAAATCCCAGTTAAACTTGGTCATTCACCTGGTGGCTGTTTGTGGGACATTCCCGTGCGCAGATTGGGTGCCTCGTTCATCCCCAAATCACAAATGAACCCACAAGAATATGACTCAGAGGCAGAAGTATTACCAATTGAGTCAAACCGACCAACTGAATACTACTAATCTATCTCTTTTGTTCGATACATTCCTTTAATGGTGTTAACTTCTGATATCGACCTCTTTTCGTCCCGAGATAAATAATTTGACATAAAAAAGGATTGTGTGTGCACTCGGACTATGATGTTAAACAGGATATGTGCCTCGTGTTATAACACTCTTTCTGTAATTTGTCAATTAAGACAAAATGACTGTTTTCATGTGTGAGGGATGAATTTTAGTTGTCATCGTGAGTTATATCGTTGGAATTCGTTTGACGCTTGTACAGGGTGTTCACAAAGTCCTGTTACTTCCTCCCCTCCCCCCCCTCACACTCCTCTCCCAGGTTTTTTTTCCTTACAGTGAATTTTTATTTTCGTTTGCAGATGAGTGAGTGTGACAATGTCTGATACCAGTTACTTCCTCGTCACTCCATCCATGTTTCGAGAGATGTCGCATTGAACATGGTGATGGATTACAATCTGCCATGGAAATTATGGTGCTCACATATACACACACACACACATATACACATACTGATCTCTGGATGTCCAAATGCAATTAAACACTTCTACTGAATACAATTAAGTACTTTTAAATGCAATTATCATCATTCATCCACACGTTTCAGTTGCTCGTCGGTGCACTGTTTAAAAGAAAACATGGGGTAACAGGACTTGGTGAATTGTGACCCTGTAAATATAAAGTATGAGGTCGATTCATTCTACAGCGTATTCCGTGAAACGCTTTGAGACGTCTGGAAGACGTGATAAGGCGACAACAACAACTTGTATTTATTTAGCGCCCTTCATGCCAGACAGAGTCTCGAGGGCATTTCATCAAATGCAAGGCTTATTATTATTATTATTATTGTTACTATTATCTGCTGTCCTAGTGCATGTGGCATGATGCCAAGTGAGTATGCATTGCTGGGTGCAGAGGAGGCTATCAACATGACTGTACAAGCTGCACAATGTTCCCAAATGCTAAGTGCTTCACACATCACAGAAAGAAGGCAAAGAACACATAAAAACCTTGCTTTCCTCAGGACATGTAGAAATGTCACTTCAATCAATAGTTGCGATCAGGGTTTTCATCAAATACAAAGATTATTATTATTATTATTGTTAAGAATAAATGCTGAGACATTATAGGCACTGTATTTCAATGTAAGGCACTTTATTATTTACTGCTTAAATCAGATGAGAGCAGTGTTGCAATTTCCGTTCGGTATGCTCAGGTATTGTTATTATATCATCAACCATGTCTGTAAACTTTTAATTCTGATTGACTGTTCCCTATTGAAATGTGGGACTTGAACTCACTATCTTCTGACTCAGAGCGCGAGTCATCTCCTTGCTGCGGTTGCCAATTCCCTTCAATTTCTAATCAATTATATTTTGTGAAGAGCTTTATCTCACAATAATAATAATCCTCGCGTTTGACGTAGTGCCTTATTACGTCACTGAGACGTCTCAAAGCGCTTCACAGGATATATTGTGGAGTGGGTTGACTGTGTACTCTGGTGGCAGCCAGTTGCTCACAGCAGTGTCCCACATTTTTTTTTGTTACGTGAAAAGTGGTATATAAATGCAAGTGATTATTATTAATATTATTATTATATAAAACACTGTGCAACAATATGGCACTTAATGGGCAACAAACATCAGATTGAACGTCTTTGTTAAAGCCACTACACCGTGTGAAACTCGGTCACATAGGCAGCGAATCGACTTCAATCCCCCTGGGCTAGGGAGGAAAAATCTGCCAGGTTTCCTGCCTCTGATCTGAGTGTACAATGATTTCTCCCTCTTCCCCCCACCCCACAGTGGGTAGAAGAGTCTGTCAACACTCCCTATTTGGCTCATCAGGTGTCAGTCAGCCAGGCTTAGTTGGTAGCAATCGCCCATGAGTCAGTTGTGGGTTGAAGCCCTTCTTTGCGACTATGAACTCATATCGTCTAGTCTTATGTTCCAATTGAGCAACGCTGCAAAATGCACACACAACAATTCACAGTGAAAAAAGCCTGTGAAGCTCTTCGAGATGTCTCGATGATGTGATAAGGCTCAAAATTAAATGCAAGCATTATCATTGTACTTATTATCCAGCATTTCCCAAGTGTTCTAGAGATACCTGATGGTATTTAATAAGGACCCCCTTGTTTAAAATACATTGAACTTAACTCACATTGGAAAACAAGCTGATTTGCCCAGGGAATGAACAAGTCCTTATGCTGAGAGGAAGGGTGTGCATGCTGATCAGTGAGTTCAGGACTACTATTATAACTCAAAACAGTTCGATCTGAAGTAGGATTTGACCTTGTGCTTTCATCCTAACCCTAAAATTTTGCATTACAATGCGTGGAAGTCTTATAATAATAATAATCCTTGCATTTGATATAGCGCTTTACACGTCTTCTCGACGTCTCAAAGTGCTTCACAGGATAGATTGTAAAGTTAACTGACTGTATATTTGTGGGCGAAACGCAGCAGCCAATTGCGCACAGCAGTGCCCCACAAACAGTCGTGGATTGAAAATGACCAATTTTTTTTTTTTTTTTTTGGAGGGATTATTATTAGGCGTGTGGAGTAAGGAAACTTGCCCAAGGTTTCGCCCTGACCTGCCTGGAATTGAACCCAAGTGTCTCGCTTGCAAAGTGAGTGCTCTAACCATTAAGCGACAGGACTTTGCGATCTGCAGAAGTCTTGTTCTGCTGATTAGTTCATTTTAAAAGGGATTGCCATCCACCATCAAAGGCTTTCTGTTGCATTCTTTGTAAAGGAAATAATCCGTGCTTTTGATACATCATCTTATCTTTTTTTTTACTCTGCAGTGTAGTGGCCGAGTATTTGTAGGCTAACGCAATAACCAATTTGCGCACCGCGATGTCCCACAAACAGTCGTGAAATGAATGACCAAGTTTATGGAGGATTGTTGTCCAGGACACCGGGAGAGAGAATCTTTTCGATTATGGCTTGAGATCTTTACGGTCCGCCTATTAGGGTAGACATGACCTCAATATGATATCTGAGGATGGCACCTCCGACAATTCGGCACTGCATTCATGTGTCAGCCCAGACTATGAGCTCAAAATCCCAATGTCAGGCTCGAAACCGCAACCTTCTGACTCATAAGTGAGAGTGCTAGCAACTGAGTCAGGCATCTCAAAGCGCTTGAAAGCAAGAATGACAACCGAGCCAAACTGACACTACTAAATTCTCTTATTAAGAAATCTGGATTAATTTGGATTGAAAATTCATTGTGCCCCTGTTAATCCTATTTGCTCAAAAAACACGTAGAATCATCAAAACAACCCAGGAAATGTTAGTTCAGCTTCTTTACACTGTTGGCATCAAGCTAATGCACCCAGTCACGTTGCTGAATCCATGGGTTCAAGCCCCACGTCAGGACTTTGACCCCAGTAGTTTGAGTGGTTGCTCTAAGAATATCTCAAGAAAACTAAACTGCCTGTCTACATTTACTGCTGAGGCAACTGATCAATTAGACATATTTCAATAGAAGATAGAATGGTGCCAAACTTGTATTATTGCTCACGTGTACACCATTGTTTACCTGTCTCAGGTGTGACAGTTGAAGGATGCACCAGACTTGGAAAGAATCTTGATCCTGATCCAATACAAACACACAGTCACCACATTTTACAGAAAATCCTGTGAAGCCTTTCAAGATGTTTTGGGTCACGGTGATAATCCTTCCATTTGGTGTAGCGCCTTATCACGTCGGAAGGATGTCTCAAAGCACTTCACAGGAATTAATATGAAATGGAGTGACCGTGTATTCGAAGGCAAACACGGCAGCACGATTGCGCACAGCAATGTCCCACAAACAGCCATGGAGGGAGTGACCAATATTATTTGGGCAATTGTTGGCCAGGACACCAGGATAGAGAAACTCCCTTCTCGTTTCGAATAGTACCATAGGATCTTTAACATCCACCTGAACAGGCAAACAGGACCCCAGTTTAACGTCTCATCCGAACGACGATATCTCCGACAATGCAACACACCCCTCAGCGCTGCATTGGAGCATCGGCTTAGACTGGTTAAAAGCACAATCAGTAAACTCGCGCATTATTTATTTATTATTACAACTGCGTTTTCCTGCTCTTGTAAGACATTACATAGTCTGGAGAAAATCGAGACTAGAATTGTTAAATGAATCACTGGGTCACTTTTTTAAAAAAAAACAAAAACAGTTTTTATTCTTCACATTCGTCGACGTTGCTTTTGTTGAAAGGACAAACATTTAAATATTAAGTTTTTATAACACAAGAAAATGTTGAACAAGTGAAAATTGCCAACATTTGACACTTTCCCGATTGTAAATGGAATTGCAAGAGATTTTACAATTGATGGATGTTACAGAGAATACAGGGCAGATTGAGGGGATTAGACAGTCTGGTTTAAATGCTGGACTTAGATCCAATCCTCATTTACCTATTGCATTATATGGGTGAGTTTTACCTCTCTCGACTGTACTTTTTTCACAAAGGAAAAGGTCGCTTGTTACAGCTGTGAATTAAAGCGAGTCAGGAAGAGACAAATTGTGTCTTGGAAAAGTAAAGTCGTATGAAAAAAATAACCCCCCCCAAAATAAAAATAAAACTTAATTTAAAAACTGCACTTCCACTTTTTTTTTCCTGCAAAATAGTGAGGTTTCTTGAGGAGAAAAAAAGCAATGACTATTACAGGTTGTATTAAAAACGTGTTGTCATTTTCCTTTTTGGGGGTGAGTGGAAGGGGGGGGGGAGAGAGAGAGAGAGGGAGAGAGAGAGAGCAATGGTTGCAATCAATGATAAACGTCAACACCAGTAAACAATTGGGGCTGGAAACTACCTTTGTGATAAAGGCCAGCGACAGTGGGATCAGTGTATTGGGAGAGTCTGCTGGTAGTTGGACCCTGGGAAGCAATTGAATTGCCAGGAGAGAGGTGTGGGAGAGGAGTCCAGAAATGTCTCCATACGGGTGGGATGGCAAGTTGTCCTGACTCCAAGCTGGTAGCTGGTGCTGGGGTAGTAATGGGCACTGGGTGCGAAGCCTTCCTCCTTTGGGCTGGAGCTTTGCTGGAAATACAAGGGTGTCTCAGCCAGGCACTTGCTGTACTGTGGAACTGGGCTGGCTGAGAGGGAGTGAGTCTGTCCGTGGGAAGCCTCTGGGGGCAGGCAGCAGGTCTCTATTGGCATCTGGTAAGTTTGGAGATTCTGATGACCCTCGGCTAAGCCCTGGCACTCAGCGTGGTTGCAGCAAGCCCACCTCGGGTTCTGGGTGGGGGTCGACCTCAGGAACATAGATAGAGAGGAGATCTTGTTGATGGCTCTCCTGAGGGTGGCGATCTTGGACAACCTCTTGCCGTTCAGGTCGTGTTTCAGGGACAACCGCAGCGCGTTGAAAGCCTGGTTATAGTCCAGGATCCTCTTCCTCTCTCTCACGTTAGCAGCAATCCTCCTAGCTTTGGATCTCACGGGTCTAGGGCGCTTCTTACCCTTGGTGTCTTGGGTCTGGTCTGGACTGGAGTCCCTGTTACCTTTGGGGCACTTGGAGTCGGTTCTGTAGCCCTCAGCCTTGTGTTCATCCTCCAGATCCTCGTATACCTCATCATCTTCCCCAGAATAATCCTCTTCTAAGATCCTAACCTGGGTCTTACTATGCAGCTTAGGCATGGTTCCCAGTCAGTCAGTCAGTCAGTCAGTCAGTCAGTCAGTCAGTCTGTCTCCTTCCAACCCTTGACTACAATGACAAGCTCTTTCTCGACCATCAGATCACCTTCCAGGTGAGTCGTCCTCTGAGCTCCTTTCCATATACGACTAACCTCTCCCTCCCACCCTTTCCTTTTTTTAAAAAAAAAACCCAAGGTGTTATTATCCTGCCCCCCACGTGATGTCTTTCATTCCCAGAGGGTGAAATTCTTTCTCTGCCAGACTCGTTTCGTAAGCAATTTTCGCCCAGTTTCCAATCAGCCTGACTGTTAACTCTTTCAACCTGTTCTTAGCCACCAAGAAGTTCTTGAAGTACAGGCTGACCAAAAAAAAAGTAGTCATACGTACCCTTTTTTTTCTGGAAAAAACCCCCCCCACACGCGTACGCAAAAATATCATTTCTTTAAGACCTATTAGACGTTGTAATGGTATCATGACTTTTTGTCACCCTGTATAACAGGCTTTCATTGTGTAAATGTGCTGAATATTAATTCCCCCCCACTCCCCATTAGAATTTAATAGAAACTTGCAGGTGACTGGTTCTAAACCGCAACCTGTGTTTGAGGATTTGGCAAATTCTGGATGACCCATAAATCCCAAGGAAATAGAGGAATCCTAAAAATGATCATGGTTGCATTTGATGTAGCGCCTTATCACATCGTTAAACACATCTCAAAGACCCGGACAGGATTTTATTGTGAAGCGTAGCGACTGTATTTTGTCAGCAAACACAGGGGCCAATTTGTCCACAGCGACGTCCCACAAACAGCCATAAAGTGAGCCACCAGTGTAGACTGGAGAATTTCACTGGCATTAGCATTGGAACGAGTATAGTGTAGATTTACAAGGATGTTACCATGGATGAGTGGATACAACCATCTGAACATCGACTAGAACATTCACAACCTTTGATGGCTATTTATAGCAGCAGTGATACTAAATGCAAGTTTGTGTTTATATAACGTTTGCGGTTCGTTTAAGATAATAAGTACTAACCGCAAACGGTATATACATAGCAACTTGAACGCCCGCCTTTGCCAAGCGAACCTTTGAAATCTTTGAAAGCCTTTCGAATCCTTCAAATCTGGAATGACGGCTCGGGCAGTTTATCTTTGACAAATTGTCGGGACTTATCTGATCAGCAAGGAGTCGAAGGAGGGCCGATTCCCAAATCTTTATCTGAAATACAAACTTCTCCACGGCTACAATTAAGAATCACCCTATTTGTCCACTGTCCTCCGTTGTCCTGTTATTCCTTTGAACCTTGCTAATTTACGTGTCTGCGATACAGCGAGGCGATAAATCACAGCCAGGCAGGCCCCGGGGGCTGTGGAAGGCACTGGACAGCACTTCAAAGGTTAAGACGAAAAGAAAAACCCTCCAGAGAGAGGAAAAAAATATTTTACAATTAGCACCTGCGGTAGTTGTTGACTTTAACCGTCACCCTGAATTACATTGCTGGCGTGGCAGTTGTCTTTAAACGGAACCGTTCGCCTAAATTAATAGATTGCTAACATGCACAAATAAAAGGCAAGTTTCCTGTGATTTACTGTAACGTGAATTCCTGGAAAAGGTACCACTTATCTCTTTATGAGCTATCATTTTGGTTTCTGACGGCAATTTTCTTTTTTTTTTTCTTTTTTTTTCAGCTTGATTCCCCCCTAACCCCCTCTCTCCTTCTATCTCCCCCTTTCCACATACTCACACTCACTCACACCAACACTTACGCGCACACTCTTTCAACTGGGACAACTTGCACTGCAGCTACCAGCAACTCCGAATTGCATTGAGCACAATTTAAATCGGTCAGTCACTCCATGGATGTTTGTGGGGACTTTGCTGTGCGTAAATTGGCTGCACACGTTAATACAGTCACTCCACTTAACAGTATTTCCTGCGAAGCACTTTGAGATCTCCTCCTGACGCGAAAGGCAGTGTATCAAACTGAAGGATTGTTGTTGTTGTTTTGTGAGTCAAAATAACTTTCCCTTTTTCTGACACGTGTGTGTCCTTGCATCAGTTTTACTGTGAAATAACCTGTTAAAAGAGGAATGACGTTAACATGAGTTCTTCCAGAGTACAATTGCTGTGCGCAATTGGCTGCCGCGTTTCGCCCATACATATAAGGTCAATTCACTTTACAGCATATTCTGTGAAGCGCTTTGAGATGCCGAGAAGACGTGAAAAGCGCTATATCAAATGCAAGGTTTATTATTACAAATACAAATCAATCGGTCATGCAATCCATCACTGTCTGTGGGGATGTTGATGTGCATAAATTTGCTGCCGCTTTGCTCCATGTAATACCTTTGGCTCCTATTACATTTTTTTGGGGGGGGGATATGGTTTCATCAGTACCTTTTTTTTCCAAAAAAAATTAGATCTCAGGTCCTGAACGGCGAGGATGAAATTCCGGATACCTGGAGCCAGGGGTTAACTGTAATGGTAATGATCCTTACAGATATACTGCTTCACAAGATATACTGTAAAGTGTAATGCCATTTTGTAGGCAAATGAGGCAGCTAATTCATACCAGCAATGTCCCACTATCAGATGTAAAGTGAGCGACCAATTTTATCCGGGGGATTGTTGGCCAGAACACCAGGAGAGAGAAACTCCTTTTTCTTTTTAAATTATTATTATTATTATTCTGTGCTTGTTTGCCTCAGGATGGAAAGTGAGTGGGATGGAGAGAGCGGGTGCATGTGGGAAAATGGACTGAATTGGGTGGAAATTCAAGTAGGCTGTTCAAGTAGGGTCTGGTTTGCTCTGAGTTGCGGGTTTACATGCTGGGGCTATGACCACAACAGGATGTTCAGGCCTTGTAAAGGCAAAGCGTAAAATGCAATCTAGACGTGTTCAGGAGAACAGAGAGGAAAAGGAAGCACACAATTTAGTCAAAGATGGGTCTGAACAGTCACCAGGTACGCACAAGAGTATTTGATGGCGAAGGATTTATTGATGAGGTATATTCCGTGCTGTATTCAAATCTGCCATTGGATAATTGAAGGTGTTTTTTTTTTAGACGTTATTTGATTTAGAACTCCACTAAATGCAACTTGTTGTTGGTGTTTCTGGTGTTTCTGCATTCACCCACAAAAAAACACCCTCACCACTTGATGGTGATTGCCTGAAAAACGCTTTGAGATGTCTCAATGATTCAGACATTTGTATCAAAAAGCTTTAATATTATTTCTCGTTATAATCAGTAGGTCATAGGGTCGTTCTCTCTTCTTGGCAGAAATAAAAGTCCCTTTCAAGAGGATGTTGTGTTCACATTTGAAATTTACCCTCCCCCTTCTCCCCGCGTGTTTGTGCATTATTAATTTGTTTGTTGCCTGGTTAATAATAATTAGTTTTAAAAAAAAAAGCGCGGTCACTGCACGTTGCAGTATATCCTGTGAAGCACTTTGAGTCCTGCTCCTGACCTGAAAGGCGTTATACCAAATGCAAGGATTATTATTAATAATTAATAATAAAATCTTTGCGTTTTATGCAATGCTTTAGCCCCTCTGCACCTCACTTCTAGAACCCCTCTCCCCATCAGCCTTTAAATCTTACCTAAACACCTACCTCTTGTGGTCTGTCTCTCTTTCATTCCCCCTCCCCTCTCCTCCTCCTTCTGTCAAGTCTGTAGGACTCATGGGGGGGTGGTTGGGGTGGGTGGGGGGGTGTTTGTCTATCTGCCAGCCACCACCACTATATTTGACTCATAAAATAATGATATTGTCTGCTGAGCTACTCTCCTTAAAAGCTTTTCTGCTGAAGGAAAGCCTGCGTTTGGGTGATAAAAGATTTATTTTATCAGTCGCCCCGGTGGGAAAGGGCAGGTTTCTCGTTTTAAAATATTAACTTCCTCCTAAAGAGAAATAAGAAAACAACCTTATTTCGTGTAAAATTCACGACCTTGACCTCCAGGCTGCAAGAACTCCTGTCCGTGTACAAGCCAATTGCGTTTCCTCTTCCTCTCTTCCCTCGCTCGCGCTCACTCGCACAAATCGAACGAGACGTTCGCAGCACAGGACGGAACGAGGCCATTCAGTGCGTCATGCCTGTATCAGCTCTCTGACGAGGCTACCCATTCAAAGTGCATTGACTGTATATTTTGTGGGCGCAATCCAATTCCTTTTTAAGAGGCTGTAATGGATTCTGCTTCAACCATCACTTTTTGTTAGGGTATTCCACGGCCCGATAGCAATCTGGGCTTTATTTTTTAATTTAAAAAAACAAAAACCGCCCTAAATCGCGTCCTTCACGTGGGGTAGCGTCTCGAAGCGGTCCAGGAAGCTAACCCGCAAGACGGGCACTGCGTTAAGTGTAAGCTGCTGCTGTTGTTGTTGGAGCGCTGATCAATGGGATAGTTTTGGAGAAAGGGGAGGTGACCATAACTGCTGACTCACTGATTACCATTGTTAATAATAATAATAATAATAATCACAATAATAATTTACGCAGACGTTTCTTGTCATACGTTCTTTCCAAAACAGAGCAACGTTGGGAGCAGCAAATGCTGCTGTGTAAAGTGGCCACTTGAGGGCATGTGTTTTAGGATTTTTTTTAATACTGGAGAAAAGTTTAGCGATTTGTTTTCGTCCATTGGGCTAATAGAGCACGGGGGTGCTTTGCAACTGGTAGCTACTGAGTCTGAAACTACAGCAACATTATAGGAGAATTGGATAGGCTTCTGTGGAGAAAACAGCATTGTCAGTCTCCGCAGTGCTGTGAGTTTTAGTGAAAGAAACATTGCTCTGTTCTATTTATTTTATCATTTCTACCGGATCTTATCTCTGTCATCTCTGCAACTGGTTTATTTCCCCTTCTCTCCCTCCCACCCCTCCGCACTTCCCTAACATGAGGAGCCTCCCTAGGGGATGGGAGGGAAATCCAACCCACGTCATAAAGATACAAATTCTCTCTCTCTCCTTCGCTCATTCATGAATCTGCGTGATTGGCACACCACCAAGGACATAAGAAATGCTAGAAGAAAAAAGAC